CCCCCCCCCCGGCTCCGCCGAGAGCGGTCCCCAGCCCCACAAGCGCGGGCATCGGGCCTAGCCCACAGCCGGCGTGAGGGTGTCACGTGTTCTATTTCGGGCGTTCTTCTCTTTCGGATTGGGCGTTCAGCTTGTCCAGGAGGGCGGGATTCCGCCGGGCGCAGAGCCGGACGTCGTCCCCATTGATGACCACCCGCCGGGCGTGCCTGCGCCGTGTGGCGGGGGCGATGTGTGCGCGTGTGGGCATGGGCATGGGCATGGGCATGGGCATGGGCATGGGCATGGTTAGCGAAGTGCGGGTAAGCTGTCGGCTGGCGCGGCGGTCGGCCAGGGAGCCAGACGCGGCAGGGACATTGGCAGTGCGGATGGACGGCCAGGCACAGGCACAGGCACAGGCACAGGGACACATACCAGGCAAAGCCCTCCAGGTCGCTGGCCAGGGCGCCAGCTTGCTGGAGAACCATTTCGGCCAGGGCATCAGCGAAGCCGGCCTCGGTCCGGGCGCCGGACTGGCGCTCTGTGTGTGCGCAGTGTGATGTGTGGCGTGTGCACCGGGAACAGGGGGGATCGAGTCAGAGCGGCGGGACACCGGTCGCACAGGGCCGCCGGCGAGCGCCGGAAGGAGGGAGGGACACAAGCAGGAGAGGGCCGGGGCGGCAGGACACAGGCAAGGGAAGCGCGCACCTTCATGCTCGAGGACCGAGGCGACCAGACGCCGGACCGCCTCCCGGACAAGCGTGGGCCCGGAAGCAGCAGCTGCCCCATCCATGCCCAGGTTGGCGAGGTCGATTTCCACTTCGTCATCTCCGGAGGCCGGCGGGGAGCCTGGCCCGGGGGCAGGGCCGGCGCCCGGCGCCCGGCCCCCCGGGCTGCTCGGTGTGGCGATAACTTGCAGGATCTCGTGCGGATCATCCGCCAGCGTGGGCAGGGCGGCACCAGCATCATGGGCAGGCTGTGCCGAGGGGGGAGGCCGGGCGGCGGGGGCACCGTGCGCCGGGGCGCCCTCAGCCAGGCGCCCCTTCCGGGCGCACAGGCCGGCGCGCTGCCACGAAGCGGGCTGCGACATGTCCCAAGCACACGCGCGTGCTCTCGGCAGGCGATACACACAGGGAAGATGGAGGGAAGGTGAGTGGAGGGGGGGGGGGAGGCAATGCGGTGTTGCTCTCGCCG